GGGGGGGGGGAGGGTGGGGGTGGGTGTCGGGGGTCTGTGAGATACTGGTGGTGAAATTTCCCAACCCGGGCTAGAGGGTGCCAGTACAATTTACTGAGGGGGTGGGGAGGGGTTGTGGTTATACTTTTTGTCAGGTAATGTCAGATTTCGAGGACATCATTTGCAGGTACCAGGGAGCTGATGTCAATTTGTGGGAGAATCCTGTACCTACTGTGAGATGTGGGATTTATCTTAAACTTGCTCTCTTGGCTTTCTCCCAGTAACCTCATCCTTTTAGTTTCTCCCTGTTAAGTTTGTCCTGTCAAATTTGTTGTCTTACCCCCATCCTGTTGGACTTACATGCATTCTTTTAGTTACATCATTTTATACCAGCATGGGACCAGGACTTGCTTGTTGTGTTGGTCCCTTCAACACACACCTTCCTCTTTGCGCTATAGTCCACTAGTAGGTAGTTTGCAGTTCACGTGTTCAAAGGTAAAGATCAAGGTACCAAAGTGATCCAGGTGACCAAAACCCACCACCTGTCCCTCCCACTCTGCTTGACTTTTCTCTCACCCACTGAGTCTACGAGTATTAATTGCCCCTCAGAAATAACCCACTTGCGTTGTTTCATTAGATGTTGTTGGCATCATGCTTTGGCTTAAGCCAAACAAGAAAACAAAATACTTCTCTCTGGTACATTGGTGACATGTGAACCAAAGGTTTATGTGGATGAACATCCCCATAATTGTCAGACTACAACCGGAATATGGGAGCTAGATGACAAAGAGGAACAGGAGCGTGTGGCTCAAATCAAACGCTCAGCCACAGCTAAGAAGCAAAAGCACAAGCTGTGGACTTGTGTCGTTTGCTTTCCCTGGGAGATTCCGGTGTGTCAGGGCTTCTCCTTACACAGGTGAGGGATTTGTAGGAGTCTTTATTTTCGAGCTGCTGCTGCCTCATCCATGTTTAATGACTATGCTATTAGACTATTTTTCCCAACAACACTTTCAAAAGGCAAATGAAAATATCAGAACAGTTTTTTAAGCTTTTTGAAGATCTGAGGGTTAGCCCAACCAAAAAATGGTAGCTCCTTTATGACATGAATGAAACTGCTGGAGATCAGTCTGCAGATCTGCTTTACGGCCTGCAAATACATTTGTCCATTTAAAAAAATGCTTTTTGTCTCCTGCTGATGCTGTGATATCTTTAGACTTCTGATGGAAATGTACGTCTCTGTGCCGGTGCTGTGGAGCTGCATTTTTAGAAGCTCTAATGGGGAAAAGTGCATCTGTAGCCTGGCCCAGAGGAGAGGGTGGATGCTGATGCTGTCTGCTGTTATGAGCTCCCCAGGGATGGACGGCGGAGTTGTTTTGGTTAAGATGAGATGTTCCTGGGTTTACGAGTCCGTATTCTTACCGTCCTGCTTTTATTTCATCCACAATTTGCCCATTATGAGCTTTGTATGTTTTTAGACCAGCTGTAGTGAATAACATGATTAAAACTGCCGTTTGTGAAGTGGGGGGGGGGAGCTTGACATACAGAAAAATACACAGAAAAATATATAAAGAGACAAATGGCTTAAATCCCAAGCTGCTTCCTGTGTCACTCTGGATGGAAGCATCTGAAAATCATGTAGACAATGTAGCAATAATAATAATAATAATGTTTTGTGCAATGTGATAAAATGTACTGGAATGTGTGGTGTAATGCTGCGTAATTTTGAAAAATGTTGTGTAGTGTAGCAGCAATCTGTAATGTTTTGCAGTACTGTGTTAGGTAGCAAGACGTGTCATATCACGTTGTGTGATTACAACATGTGATGCAGTTAAATGCTTGTTACCTGGACCTACATCGCTGGATGTAGATGTCCTGCAGGTTGGTGAGTGTCTCTGATAATGCCTACTGCCCTGGACCTACATCACTGGATGTAGATGTCCTGCAGGGTGCTGAGGGTCTCTGATAATGCTTACTGCCCTGGACCTACGTCACTGGATGTAGATGTCCTGCAGGGTGCTGAGTGTCTCTGATAATGCTTAATGGCTTGAACCTACATCACTGGATGTAGATGTCCTGCAGGTTGGTGAGTGTCTCTGATAATGCTTAATGGCCTGGACCTACATCGCTGGATGTAGATGTCCTGCAGGGTGCTGAGTGTCTCTGATAATGCTTACTGCCCTGGATGTTGAATACAGACTTCCTGATGGGTCCTGGTGATTTGCTTGGCACTCCGCATCACCCTCCGCAGGACTCTGTGGTCCTCGGAGCTGCAGCTGCCATACCAGGCAGTGATGCTCCCAGAGAGCACAGATCCCACGTTAGCACTGTAGAAGGGTTTTTGCAGTGCAGAGGACATTTTTGAATTTCCTCTGCTGCCTCAGGTGATACAGTCGCTGCATAGCTTTCTGCACTAGGGTGGTGCACATTGTCCATGTCAGGTCCTCAGAGATGTGTACTCCGAAGTACCTGCTAACTCAATCCACTGGAGTCCCAAAAATCTTGGGAGGTGTGTACATCCTCTGATGCTCCTTTCTGAAGTCCATGACCATCTCCTGGTTAAGCATGATGCTGTGTGATGTGATTAAATGTATTACAGTAACACTGTGTAATATGGTGAAATATGTTACATTGCATAATGTAGTAAAAGATTTTGGAGCTCGTACCCATCATCCCTCACTCCCCACTCTCTCCCCTCTGTGCTCCCCCTCCCCCAGACTGGCAGAGATGGAGAACCAGACCTGCACCTTCTTCACAGGCAGCCTGTCTCCCGACGAAAGCCTGTGAGTACACAGTGAAACACCCCCCCACCCACGCCCTTGCCACCCCTACTCAACCATGGATTTCCTCCTCCTTGGGGCGTATTGGAGACAGGGGGGTGGCAAATGAGTCCAAATGAACGAAAAATGAACACTGTTTTTTATGTTATTTTTTTAAGTGACCCCTGTGGTGGGCACAGTCAGGAGCAGAATGAATCTCCCCCCTCCTCATATGGAGAGGATTAAACAGAGGCTCATCAGGAGCAACTGGAAGACTCAAAAACACAGTGATGGCTTGGAGGGGGAGGAGGAGGTTTGCTTGAATAACAGGAGGGAGAGAAGTGACACATGGCTAACAAAGAGGAGTGCTGTCTTGAAATGTTAAGGAGTGCTGAGAAATGTGTAAAGGGGTGACAAGGAGTGTTAAGGGGTGTGGAGAGTGAAATGGTGTTGGGGAATGTCAATGAGTGGGGTGTCAATGAGTGAAAGGGGTTTTTGAGTGTTTGGGGGGTTGTTTGGGGAGTGTGAAAGGGTGTCGGGGAGTGTAAAGGGGTGTTAGAGTGTTTGGGTGGTGTCGGGGAGTGTAAAGGGGTGCTGGAGTATCTGGATGGTGTCGGGGAGTGTAAAGGGGTGTTGGAGTGTTTGGGTGGTGTCAGGGAGTGTAAAGGGGTGTTAGAGTGTTTGGGTGGTGTCGGGGAGTGCAAAGGGGTGCTGGAGTATCTGGATGGTGTCAGGGAGTGTAAAGGGTTGTTGGAGTTTTTGGGTGGTGTCGGGGAGTGTAAAGGGGTGTTGGAGATTTTGGGTGGTGTCGGGGAGTGTAAAGGGGTGTTGGAGAGTAATGGCATGTCAGGGAGTGTGAAGTCAATGAATTGGAGAACTGGTGATGTTTAGATCAGTTTATCATATCCACATTGGATCTGTCATCGCTGTTTGATGTCAGCACAATCTGTGTCTGTGCTGTGAGTCACCTCTGTCCTGCCCCAGTATTTGGCTGTTTGTCAGTCTATGATTCAGCGGTCAGTGTTGCTGAGCAGTGTGTACTGCTGCTGTGAATGTGACAGGATGAGCTCGTCTGTACTGCCCGTGTCAGTTCTGCCCATGCTGCTGGGGCGTGCAGCTCAGTATCTGTGTGTCTGCTGGCACCATTGTGGTCTGGGTCTGTGCTGGTGCTGTGAATGTGGCAGGATCAGCATGGCTGTCCGTCCTTCGTTAGTCTGAGCCATGCTGTCAGGGCCCGTGGCTCGGCGTCAGTGCAGTTCAGTGTGCTGTCTCCTCTGTGGGGGGAGTCAGGGATGAAGATCAGTACCTCCTCCGTCACTCCAGTGCTGCCCTCGATCTGGACTCCCCCACGGGACAGCATATCTTGGGCGCCATCGACTGTGGGGACAAGGACGAGCTGCAGAGGACGCTGGAGCGGCTGGAGAACGAGAACAGGTGGGTGCGGGATCAGTTGCCGTCGGCTCTAATGTTCCAGGAAAGTGCCAGGAACCTTGGGGTTCCCCTCCATCTGATACCCACTGTTCCGGGGCTCGGCTGTCGATTTACCAGCACATGAAGCCATGTAATTCTTTATCTGTGTTAAGTTTCTGTCAGATTCCCATAGAAGGAATCAAACGATAAGAGTGTGTACCCAGACAGTGATGTACGGTGTTCAGAAATGTATGAAATGTTATGAAACTGACTTCAGACCCGAGGCAAAATTTCGAGGACTGTGTTCTCTGTTGTTATTCAGTTTGTTTTTTAATCTTCACTCTAAAGGTGGCCATATACTTCAAACAACATCAAGACAAAACGAAAATGAACATGTCAGCGAGAACAATCTGTCGCATACTTAAAATGAAACTTAAACGCTGCTGCCTTGTTCGTTCTGTCACGCCACAACCCTAGAGGACGCCAAATGTTTTTGACGCAGCAGACCCCCATACAGAGCACAAATAAACAAACTGTGGCAAGTGCATGATACACATCCTGATTTTCCTGAGTTCAACCTGTTCTTGGGTCAACTAGGGAGGGGCTTGCATTACACTTCTTTAACCAATCACAGTCTTCATTGTATGACATCACCGCATTAATTAAAACCAGTGTTTCCTCTTACGTGGCAAGGTGCACGGATTCCTAAAGTATCTGTGTATTGTTAAGGTACATGTTAGGGACACATAACATGGGAACATGGTATCTGCAAAGGCACAATGGAGAGATGTAAAGGTGCATCTTTATTTCATCATGATGATGATAATAATAATAAAGTAGGTGTTAAGGATTTTGCTTGAGGGCCCATGTGCGTGTGTCTGACAAGGCTGGGCTTGAATTAGCAAACTTCTGATCACAGGCACAGAGGCTTAGCCCACTGAGCCTCACACTAGCTGCCGCTTGCTGGCTGGTTTGAAAATGAGAAAAAAAAGACCAGTGTCATAATATCATACGATGAAGACTATGATTGGTTATAGAAATGAAACACAAGCCCCTCTCTTGTTGACTCAGGAACACGTTGAATTTGGGAAAGCCAAGATGTCCAGGAGATGACAGCACATTTAAAATGGAAGTCGCTCTCTTTCTTAACATCCACTATTGGTGTAATGCTAGCAGTGGCACAGACTGGGAAACCAGCAATTTACATGACACTCACGGTTACACGGTAACAACACTCACATATCATGTGGCAAACATTACACAGTTACAACAATCACAATTAATATAAAAACAGGGATACACATATTAATACCTATTGTGTGGTGTGGTGCAAAGCATGCTGGTAGCTGCATAATGAGTCCTGCTGACCAACCCCATAGCATCACATTTATGTCAGCCAGTCGTGGACAGTGGGTGGGATCAGAACGTGTGAAAAAGTTTGGCTTGGGCATCCTGTGTAGGCGGTGATTTCATTGCGTTCACTGTGGTGATTACAGTGTATACCATGCCGTGTTGCCAAAACGACGTCAATTCTGTCGATTTCATCTGAAGCATACGGCCAGCTTAATCCTGGTGCAAAGGGTTTTATTTACAACGCGTTTCATTGACGATTTGGAAGGAATGATGCCTAACCTAAAACATATAATACAATATTGATGCAATATAGGTATGAGATTGAGGGCAGTTAGCAGGGTGCCTACTGGTTATTTGCAAAAGCGAGATCACTCTCTGACTGCATCTAAACATTGGGCAGATGGACATCAGTGGGATGCTAAATTTACACAGATCCGCAGTGTGTTATGGGAATAATGGTCATAAATGAAAATTCGACTTGTCCCAGCATCCATGCATTTATTTTGCATGAGTGTTTACCTGGTACAGGGCCAAAGCGAGCTCGGAACCTACAGCAGGTGCGCAGGACACGTGGCAGAAACGCAGCGGACGGGATGCAGGCTCATCACAGAGCAAACAACCAATTTAGACTCAAAAATCCACCTCCTTGGGCTGTAGGAGGAGGACTCCTCCCTAGAGGAGCACGCTTGGATCAGGCACACACAGTTTGCTGGGCATGAACCTCATAGACTCAGCAGTTTGGGCCACAGTGCTGCCCACTGAGACACAAAAATGGCAAAGATGAACCAGAATGAGCTAAATGTCTGTCAGACTTTGTCTGGTGTTAGTCCAGCAAGCTGAGAAGAGATGGACAATCACTTTGATGAGGATTCTATCCCTCTAGGGTCCTGCAGGGGGAGTACCGGCGTCTGAAGTGGAGGCATGAGGAGGCTGCGGCCTCGCCGCAGCTACTGGGAGGTCCGCCAGGATCACCAGCGAGTCACCAGGACGAGGAGCTGCTGGCGGAGGCGCGGGTGCTGAGGCAACACAAGACCCGGCTGGAGACGCGCATGCAGATCCTGGAGGACCACAATAAGCAGCTGGAGTCCCAGCTGCAGAGGCTCAGAGAGCTGCTGCTTCAGGTTTGAGTGCGGGCTGGGGATGGAGGGGGTCAGGTAGGGGGGGGTCACCTATGAAGAAACACCTATGATGTGAGAGAGGCTTTGAGAAGTGCATTATGGGTATGAGATGGAGAAGTGAAATGTGGAGTGTGAGAGACAGGGAGAGCTGCATTGTGGGACTGAGATGGGGGAGTGGGTAGAGTAGGAAAGGGGCAGATGCATTGTGAAGGACTAAATTGTTGTATTGGCATAATAGGTGTTGGATTAAAAGGATTATATGAATGATGAAGAGGACAGTGGATTATGTATGGAGAAAGCTATGTTGGGGGGGTGAGAAAGAAATGAAACATTATGGGACCGATGGTGAGTGATACCTGTCACTCACCAAAAAACAACCACACATTCTTTAGAGGGTTTAGATTGACGTCCGAGATAACGCAATTAAAGTACAAAAGCTGTTAAATCGAGGTAGATTAAACAGGGACAAACAATATTAGGGGAAGGGCTATTTGGGTCAGGCGAGTAGTGTGTGGTCTGGAGTAGGAATGCTCTGGTCGGGGGTGTCACACTGTGCTGAAGGTGTAGGTGTCTGGCTGTAGGCAGGAGTTTCACCAGGCGGTAGGAGCTCCTCTCAGTGTCGTGCAGATTAAATCACTCACAGTGACTCTGCCTTTAAAAAGCAGATTTGATTCCTCAGTTAATCTTAAGGTTTATTTAAAATGTAGCTCTTAAAATTAAGGCTGAGGAAGATGTTTTGTTACTTGTGGTAATCCAGCAAAGCTGCTCCTTTTTTTCTTTCCAGCCCAAAGATGATTCGGAGGCCAATGGATCAACAGCGTCCTCCCTGTCTTCGCCTGTGTCGGCGGGCGGTTACCCACGGCGACGGCACAGCCGAGAGACTCCAGACACAGAGGACGCTGGTGAGACGGGGGGAGGAGGTCTGAGGATGGGGATGGTGTGACAGCAGCCTTGACCCTCTGTGGCCCCTCTGAGCTGAGGCAGACTGTGGCCCCTACTCCGAGCTGAGGCAGACTGTGGCCCCTTCTCAGAGCTGAGGCAGACTGTGGCCCCTCCTCTGAGCTGAGGCAGACTGTGGCCCCTCCTCCGACCTGAGGCAGACTGTGGCCCCTCCTCCGACCTGAGGCAGACTGTGGCCCCTCCTCCGACCTGAGGCAGACTGTGGCCCCTCCTCTGAGCTGAGGCAGACTGTGGGCCCTCCTCTGAGCTAAGGCAGACTGTGGGCCCTGCTCTGAGCTGAGGCAGACTGTGGCCCCTCCTCTGAGCTGAGGCAGACTGTGGCCCCTCCTCTGAGCTGAAGTAGACTGTGGCGCCTCCTCTGAGCTGAGGCAGACTGTGGCTCCTCCTCTGAGCTGAGGCAGACTGTGGCCCCTCCTCTGAGCTGAGGCAGGCTGTGGCCCCTCCTCTGAGCTGAAGTAGACTGTGGCGCCTCCTCTGAGCTGAGGCAGACTGTGGCCCCTCCTCTCCACAGGGGATGATGAGAATGAGGGCCAACGTGACACGGTGCTGCAGCTGCAGGAGGTCATCGAGCAGCTGCGTAATGTCTTCCCGTCGGAGGCAGGCGCATCCAGGATGAGGCCCGAGAGGCAGGCCGCTCCTCGCTCGTGAGTGAAGGAGAAGGACTTTCCATGCTCAACAGAGGGTAAGACAGCAGCCAGTAGAGGCGCGGGAGGAGGAGGAGACTTGTGGCTTTCAGGCAGGGAGTGGATCTGCTTACTGTGGTCCGGCAGGTGCTGTGGGGGATCCCGCAGGAAATGCGTCACGCACACACTCTCACTGACTATGCATTAGGTCACCGAGAAAATGCTTACCATGGTGACAGAAATGAGCACCCAGGAGCAGATGCAAGGACCTAGGAGAGGAGAGATCGATGCTGCCCTACAGATGCACGCTGAAGAGATAATCGACATGCTGATAAACTGGCACAAAATGCCTGTTTATGACCATATAGGCGTCTGTCAGCACATCGTACACAGAGCCATCTAAATGATTATACCTCTCATCCCCTGTATTGACGATTAACCTCTTTCTCCACTCCCTGTACATTTTATCAACCCCCCCCCCACCCCCCTCAGCTGTGGACAGTGAATTTTTTTAATATTATCTGTTTCCTTTACCCAGAGTTCCCCGGGAGAGACTGCAGCTGGACCATGTGACCCACATCCATCAAGCGCCTCGTGTTCCAGCCTCGACACCAGTGTGGTTCCAGAAGCTCATTGCTGTGTCAACACTGTGTTTACCAGCTTTGGGTCCATATGAGCTGCGAAGCTTTTTTATTTTTTTTTAACTCATGCAGCACGAAACTGAGCTCAATCTGCACAGGGGACAGAGGGGTGGTCTGTTGTCCCCAAGGGGACAGAGAGGTGGTCTGTTGTCCCCAGTGTCTCGGTTTCCTTGAACTCCTTCCCACTGCGGCAGAGAATGGACAGACTGCGTGTGCACATGCTGGCAAAGGCATCGAGCGCGCAGAGCTGTAAGTGACTGTCACTGTCAGGTGGTGCGTTTTTATCAGCCACACCCCTGCTGACCCCCCCCCCCCTGCCCCCACCCCACCGGGTGCTAAGGCTGCCTACCTGGGCCAGACAGAGTTGCTGGCCCCAGGTGAAATAAAGAACTTTAAGCACAGTTCACATGCCTTAAAACCCTGGGAGATTCAGCGGAAGACGGTGCAACCCTGGGTCTCCTTTACCACTGTCCCAGTGACATTTGTGCGTGGTGGTGTGTGGACACCATAAATGCACACGAGCCATTTTCACTTCTCATCTTCACAACTGGGAAGGAAATGTCTTATGGTGAACTGAAGGGCGCTTGATGGTGATTCTGTGGTGAAAACCAGGAAAAGCAGGTGACAAACAGAGTAGCGTGAGGAAGCTGGTTAGGATACCACTGAAAACTTTCCAGCTTTCAAAGGCAGCACCAGCGCCATTTAACGGACTCGTCCCAGACTGAAGTGTGTTATTGTATGAATTCAGGATATGTAGTTCAGCAGGGCTGGTCACCCCAATGGGGTACACCGACCTCACCGTCAAACACGAATGTCGGCAATAATCTCATTCCACATCTGTATGGCTTTTCTACCCATTGTTCCGTACCTCCACACGCAGAGATTGCTGCTTGTTGTGATTTGGTTACTAGGCAACTGTCTCCATGGGTGCCCCAGCTACAGAATGCTTTCAAGGAGGGGTCGTGTTTTGTAGAAATAACAAATCTCCATATGTTAAGGTGATTGAGCGGCTGGCGGAGCATCTAGCCCACCATCGTTGTGCCTCTGTGTTGACCCCCCCCCCACCCCCATCACTCTTCAAGATCAGCATCACTTCACCACAGAGGGATATGAGAGTCATCAGTGTTTTTCCCAGGTGCTTGAAATCACACATACCTGCATATCCTTGGGTCATTGAACCTTTTATTGTATTTGGTGAACATAAATAAGCACAGCTAACTGCATTTTCAGTATATGACAGCTCAGCCAGGAAGTGGAGCGTGATTCGTGACTGAGAAACATATTGTTGAGAAGTAACCTATCAGGGAGGACTTCACAGTTCCCACCCTTATAGGAACCTGCTCACATTTATTAATGTATTGGATCAAGGGGAGGTCATGTGACCCCTGTATTTGCTGTGTCTGTGTGTGAATCCCATGGATTTACAGCAGGAAGTGCTCATGTTCTCTCTCAGCTGCTACCACGTTATAATTTCAAAGCAAACAGCTAATTTGCTCTCCTCCTCCCTCCTTTTGTCTGATGACAGTGTGATTTTTTTTTGTGTCACTGTTTGGAAATGTATTTATTCTCACTTTTGTTTTCATTCAATAATGACACAATTTGTTTTTGTAGAAACTAAAAAGAAGTGATTTTCAAAATGGAAAGATTATAAATGGTTGCTTTCTACTGACGTGTACAGAAATAAATTTGTATTTGTCATAAGCAATACCTGGTGTGGAAGTTCTCTGTTTATTCAGCCGAGAACTCATAAAACTTCTCAAGGTTTATCTATTTATTTTGCTTATTACAATGTTATTGCCTCCTGCTTCAGTTCTGTTTACTCGGAACCTGAATTTGTGTTTTTTTGATGAATGTTATTTGTAGTGTCAGTCTGATGCATTCCTGCTCCTCCTCGACCAGTGCACTTGTCTTTCTCAAGTCAGCCCCTCCCATCCTCATTGCTGATATCCATCTCAGCAAACACCCTCTCCCATTCACTTTGTTCCATTGATGTGATATCACCCAGCTGAGTGTTCCGGGTCTCCATGACCTAGGTCATCGCCCAATTCCCAGATGGCCTTGGCACTGCCCATGTCTGACTGCGAGGGTTCCAAGGTGTCCTGTACTCAAATCTTTGTGCTGGAGGCATTACGCTTCTATACTGATAATCAAATCTGTGTGTCTATTGTCCTTTTCTCCAGGTGAATTCTCTGACACTCTCTCCCCATGGGGTGCACCGTACTATTTCCACACTAGGGTTCACATTTCACCAGTTCTCAGATACCATCTCCACATTGGGGTCCACTATTCTTCAGTTTTCTGGTGCCATTTCTTTTTTGGGGTCCACTGTTCTTTGGTTCTCTGACATCCTCACTTCATTGGGGTCCACTGTACTTCAGTTTTCTGGTGCTATTTCCACACTGGGGTCTACTGTTCTTTGGCTATCTGATGACATTTCCACACTGGGATCTACTGGTCTTTGATTCTCTGATCCCATTTGCACACTTTGGTCCACTGTTCTTTGATTCTCTGATGCCATTTTCATACCGTGGTCCACTGTTCTTTGGTTCTCTGGTACCATTTCCACACTGTGGTCCACTGTTCTTTGATTCTCTGATTCCATTTCCATACTGGGGTCCACTGTTCTTAGGTTCTCTGGTGCCATTTCCAGACAGGGGTCAACTGTTCTTTGATTCTCTGATGCCATTTTCACACTGTCATCCACTGTTCTTTGATTCTCTGATGCCATTTCCACACTGTGGTCCACTGTTCTTTGATTCTCTGATGCCATTTCCACACTGTGGTCCACTGTTCTTTGATTCTCTGATGCCATTTCCACACTTTGGTCCACTGTTCTTTGATTCTCTGGTGCCATTTCCACACTGTGGTCCACTGTTCTTTGATTCTCTGATGCCATTTCCACACTTTGGTCCGCTGTTCTTTGATTCTCTGATGCGATTTCCACACTGTGGTCCAGTGATCTTTGATTCTCTGATGCCATTTTCACACTGTCATCCACTGTTCTTTGATTCTCTGATGCCATTTTCACACTGTCATCCACAGTTCTTTGATTCTCTGATGCCATTTTCATACCGTGGTCCCCTGTTCTTTGGTTCTCTGGTGCCATTTCCACACTGTGGTCCACTGTTCTTTGGTTCTCTGATTCCATTTCCATACTGGGGTCCAGTGATCTTTGATTCTGTGATGCCATTTTCACACTGTCATCCACTGTTCTTTGATTCTCTGGTGCCATTTCCACACTGTGGTCCACTGTTCTTTGATTCTCTGATGTGATTTCTACACTGTGGTCCAGTGATCTTTGATTCTCTGATGCCATTTTCACACTGTCATCCACTGTTCTTTGGTTCTCTGGTGCCATTTCCACACAGGGGTCAACTGTTCTTTGATTCTCTGATGCCATTTCCACACTGTGGTCCACTGTTCTTTGGTTCTCTGGTGCCATTTCCACACAGGGGTCAACTGTTCTTTGATTCTCTGATGCGATTTCCACACTGTGGTCCACTGTTCTTTGATTCTCTGATGCAATTTCCACAATTTGGTCCACTGTTCTTTGATACTCTGATGCCATTTCCACACTGTGGTCCACTGTTCTTTGATTCTCTGATGCCATTTCCACAATTTGGTCCACTGTTCTTTGATTCTCTGATGCCATTTTCACACTGTCATCCACTGTTCTTTGATTCTCTGATGCCATTTTCATACCGTGGTCCACTGTTCTTTGGTTCTCTCGTGCCATTTCCACACAGGGGTCAACTGTTCTTTGATTCTCTGATGCCATTTCCACACTGGGACCTAGCAGTGATTCTGTCGTCTTTGTGGTTTCATGCCCATCTTTGCTCTCCCTGTTCTTCGTGGTCCTTACAAGCTGCACTCTATCCTCTCTGAGGGCCCCTGCTTCCTTCCCCTGCTGAATCGCTTCCCCATTTTTCCCCGGTCCGCCTTGACCCCACCTCTCCTCCGCCACTGCCCAGTAGCTCCTCTTCTCCAGCACATGCTTGGCCCGGATGCTCTCGCTCATCTTTTTCAGCTCCATACAGGCAATGGGCTTCAACTTGGGGTCCAGCTTGGCGATGTGAGCAAAGGACTTGCGGGCCTCGTTCTCCTGGTGCAGAGCTGCGTGAGCCCGCGCAGACTGGAACATCGCCTTCAGGTTCCCTGTAGTGGGTCAGGGAGACGAAAAAAAAAACTATTCATAAACTAGGTGAAAAATTCTCATGCAAGAGCAGACAAATAAATCATCCTACTTGACAAACCTTAAATCCCAGGGCAGAACGATCACATTGATAATAGTTATTACCACAGACAACCAAAACTTAGACCTTTAACTATTATTATTATTAAGTTGTTGTTATTATTATTATTATTATTATTATTATCATCATATTGTTTGTTCTCTTGTTCTACTCTCCTTCTTATGTAACTTGACTTCAAATACAAATTTTTGGAAATCGAGGAGATCAATGTCACAGAAACCAGACAGTAATGTAAACAGCTCCACCCGCTCCAGTCAGACTGAAGTCTCTGAAAATGGGGTAGGGTGTGCTGTGTTTTTGGGCGTGCCTAACAGTAAGTATTGCTGAGAACACACCAGTTTGCTTATAGGACGCTGGGTATTCAGACTCCCAGCTGCTGCCATGTGGCCCAGTGGCCATCATGCTGACCCCCCCACTCCATACCTCTGTGTTTTCTCAGCAGCTTTGTGTTGGTCTCCAGCACCTGGTGGTATTCGCCCAGCTCCAGCATGCACTGGCTGAGGTTGAGAGACAGGGGGAGATGCAGCTTCTCCAGGGAGTCCCAGTCTTCCTTATTACGGTCAACGTCCACCTTGCGGGAGGGAGATGGACAGGGGAACGTAGAGAACCTGTGAAGCTCTCATAATGAAGCCCACGCTTTCTGACACTCAATATTTCACCCTTTTAGAGTTCAGCCTACCATGTGTCGGCTGCTAATTGGTAGTTCTTATGAGATCTGGGGTCTCTGGAGTACTTGAGGAGTGCTAAATATGAATGTGAAACACTCAGAGTTGACATCATCAGCAGATCATGCCAGGTAAGGACCTTTGCTGGTGATGGGGAGGTAGCAGTTGATTACACCCTTGAGCAAAGTACTTAACCTGACTTTCTCCAGTAGAAAGATTACTTTACATATCTGTACAGCCAACTGTACTGTACTTTGCAAATGGTTTTAGTTAAAATGATGTGGGATCATGTGGTGACTCCAGCCCAGTGTGAGGTAGATGTGATCCATCCTTACCATGTCTTTGAGGGAATGAATGTACTCAATAGCCTCCTGGTATTTCTCAGCGGCCTCCAGGTAGCGGAGCTCTTTGACCAGGAAGTTGCCCTCGTCCTGAAGCAGAGGAACCAGCCGCAGCATTTGCTGCCAGTCCTTCCCCTCCGTCGGCGCAGAAGCTCCCCGCCAGGTTTCCTGCCTTTCTCCGCGTTTTCCGGCTGCTTCCTGGTTCCCGCTTTGGCCCGTTTTTGACTCCTGTGTTTTTTCTTCCCCAGGACCATGTGAGGTGCCCCCAGCACCCTCCTCTCGGGCTGTGGTCTCCCATTTCCCTCCATCCCCTCGTAGACTGGTCTGCCCTCCTTTCTCCTGCAGGATGGCCCGGTAGCTGTTCTTCTCCTCCAGGTGCTTCTCCCGCATCCTGTCGGCCAGGTGCCTCAGCTCTCGCTGCACCAGCGCTGCCAGGGTGACGTCCAGCCTGGCCACAGTGAGGAAGTCTTGGCGGGCCTCCGTCTTGTTCCACACCGCCGCGTGGGCCTTGGCCCGCTTGTAGTAGGCCTTGACATTGTCTTGCCAGGGAAGAGATGGACAATCCATGAGTCACAATCGTACTCTTAAAATGACCAATCTAAGCAACATACATGAGAGACAATTCTGCAAATCAGGGGTCCATGGATCACTAGTCATATTAAGGGGGCGGGAAGGTTAAATAAACTGTATCTTTTCATGTTATGTTTTTTTTAATGACTCCTGACGCTTTACCACTAGCACTGACCCCCCCCCCCCCATTACAGTTTGTGAGGCCTGTGACACGCCTAGACGACATGTTTTAGTTGTTAAGTTAGTGTGTGTCTGCTCTACAACTGACTATATCCCTCCCTGAATTTTAAAAGTACAAAACAGACTCCACTGCTCTTTCTTGGCCTTGACTTCGTATTTTAATCCTAAGCATGAACCCAACACTGTGTACTTCACTTTTTCTCGACGCATAAGTGTGCATCGGTGCTCTCAGGCCTGGGTAATTGAGAGCCCGCCCCGTTCTGCACGTCGCCACCCATGGACGCCGGGCGCGGGATTACTGCAGATCCTCCGCCCCAGAGGAGCTGACCTGCTTCCCTCACTTCATCAATAATTAAATTGTTTGTTTACTTCCCCTGCAGTTTCCTTCCACGAACCGAGTCACCGCGACGAAACGTCCCAAGAGGGCTTCTGTAAGGGGAGAGATGGTGGATGGGGATAGCATGACAAACGGGGGTTGCACTGGGGAAGGTCCATGATTTGAGGTTTGGGCTGGGCGGGGGCTCATCCTCATGGGCCCAATAAGATGAAGCGAGGTTCCTGGCTCAGCTTCCCAGGCCGAGTAGCATAAACCTCATTATAATCACCTGGCTTTGTTGACTCTCATGCCCCCCCGAGACGCGCTGGCAGCGTGTGGCCGGCGGAATCCAGCCAGCGGAGGTAAAAGTGTGGCGGCTATCTGGAGGACACGCTATGCGCTAGCTAGCTTTGCTAGCAGGAAGCTGAAGCCAAGCGCACTGGCAGAGGAACCGATTGGTGCCTAAGCCGGCCACAGGCGCGGAGCCCGGCCAAGGGGAGTTATGAGCGAGCAGCCCCCCTCCCCGTGGAGATCAAAAAAATAAGACGACTCCTGTTCAGTGTGGCAATGCCAAGATGTCACGTTTCTATTGGACCAGTCAGAGTACACATTTGTGTGCCTTTGCAGATAAGTACAGGGGTGGAGGCTGACTGTTCTCAAGGACACAAAAACAAGGGCAGGGGTATCTGGGGACCCCATGCGGGGACGGCTGAGGGGAGGGGCGAAGACAGCAACCTTTGTGTTTCTCCAGGAGCTCTGTGGTGTGCTCCAGAACCTCATAGTACTCCTGCAGCTCCAGCATGCACTGGCAGTAGTTCAGCACGAGCGGGACGATGAGCCGCTCCAGGTTGACATGGACCTCGTCGCCCGGCATCTCCTGCAAAAGGAAACGACCTCTGGGTGGACGGGACACTGGGCTTATGCCTTCCTCTGAGTGTTTCTTAATACTAACAATGCAAAGACCGTTCTTGTGGTCTTGCCTCCCTAGAATGAACTTCGGGTGCAATGAATCATGGGATTGATCTCATTTGCCCAGGATGCAACCGATGTATCCTTGATATTTCAGGTGGGGCAAGACTAACATCCAGTTCACCAGAACACACGAGAACACATGTATTGTCAGTGATGTATTTTGTCTCGTCATCTTCATCCTGAAGCTCCACCCCCCTCCCGCACCCTGGACTGCACAGTCCTCAGGAGCACCACGGCCTCCTGGTACGTGCTGGCGGCGTCACGGAAGCGGCCCTGCTTGACCAGGGTGTTGCCCTGCAGGTGCAGCGTTGGGACGACCTGCAGCTTCTCGTCCTTCCCCATCATCCAGGACTCCCGCTTGTAGGAGTAGGGGTCACCCACCTGGGGGGGGACATCATCAGAGATTATATTTTGCGGGTCTTTGTAGGGATTCGGTTCTAAATCACTCTGCAGCAATGTAAATTGTAAATAATTGTGCACTCCATACATCATTTATTGATAACCTCTACATTTGTAGCTACTGCACCTGAAATGCCCAACACTGCTTGTATGGTAGTGTGTCATAGGGACTGTGGTACATTAATCACCCTATAAAATGTTTTCTCATGTCAGGCTAAGAAGAAGGCTTGAGCAGCCCCACCGAGAGCAGTTCCATGATGAAGATGAGCGGCTGGGGTTCCTTCGTCAGCTCATCCAGCTCTGGTAAGCCCGAGCAGTTGTAGTAGAACATGTTTCCCATGCCGCACATGTGCTCCTGCCCTTCCAGGGGGTCCTTGCCCTGGGCGATGAGCCGCATGCCCTTGGAGACGATGGGGTACAAGCCGGTGTGCTGCCCACGGAGAGACAGAGAAAAGTCCAACGTGACATGGGCCTCCCAGAACCTGCAGGGAGAAGCTTGTGACCGTATAGGGCGGCCACACAAAGTCTTTTAGCTCCACTGAGCAGATATATCGGGTAGGGGGCCATTTAAACTCTCACCCTAGACGCAGCGCCCTAGAGAACCAAAAGAGACACAAGGGAGAATTTAAAACGGCGTAACGTCAATAATCCGTTATTCAGTGAGTGGTAAGATTTACTGAGCAGGGAGGGTTTGTTGGCAGCAAAACTAACCGGGGGTAGGGCTGTCGGCACTAAAGCACACCCGACAGCTGGGGGTGGGCTTGCTGGCAGATCGATCGCTATTAAGTTTATTAGTAATAAGTTTAACTGTTTGCCCGAGGTGGGGTGGGGCCGCTCATTTTTGCTAGGGCCCTAGACTACAGCCTAAGAAAGCTTAAGCATTAATCCAACCCTGCTTAGAGGATGTGGACTCTAGAGGCCCCAAGAATCATTTAGAGAACCAAGAGGCACAAGGAAGGTGCAAAAGTCATTGCTCAATATTATTGTATTGTTATTCAGGAAGGAGGAATGTAGCTGTTGTGAACCTTTGATTCGTGACCACAGAGGACAATACTCAAGATGCACTATGACAGGACTAGAAAACACAAACACAAAAGTAAACCAGGAATCTGAAGTTTCCTGCCAAAGCTGTGGAGTGCGGCCAATGGTCGTAAAGTCAGAAAGCAGAAGCTGAGGCTGGCGGCCGTCTGGAGAAGTTATCAGCGGCGTCTCAGGCCTATATGAGCAGATCTGCTCCCTTTTGTTCCCCGTCTGCAGGGATTAGAACACGCTGCACGCTCCAGGGATAATGGCCGCTTTTGTCACTAATGCTGAAGATTGTGAGATGGTGACTCCTTTGTAAGAAAATGAGGACCAGAATAGCGTCCACCCTTGTGAATGCTAATTAAAATTTGATTTGAAGTTGCTATGGCATTTACTGGAACTTGACGAGCACAGGAGTAGGGAAAGAGGAGCGTGTCTCGTTATGGACTTACGATGGCGTCACACCAGAACTCTGCCACCTCGCCAACCCTCATGGAGGTCAGCAGGACTTCCCACACCTCCATCTTGAACATCTTGCCCACAAAGATCTCCATGGGCTGCTTGCCTCTACGACTGTCATCGATCACTGTCCTCTCAAAGTTGTCCTTCGTCGTCTGGAAGTGGAACACGAGCTTTGTTGAGAAAAAGGGATGGATGGAAGAAGAGAAAGTAGGTGAGTGACTAAGCAGGAGGGGATTAGGAGATGCAGATAAAGATCTGAGGCTGTTTGTTTCTGGAAAATTCACCCAGTTCTCACATCGCACAGAGCGAGGAAGCTCTGAAAAACATAGATCTTTTATTTTTAAGAATCGTGTATCCAAAAAACCTTTTTTGTGACCTTAGAAGCAACATATACAAAGATAAAATTCTCCCACAGACGGTCAGAAAAAAAATTCAAATACCACCCCTTCGATTTCACACATTTCCTAAAAACCCCACATATCAACTTAAGGCTGCAGCTTCATTTCAATTCAGGGGCATGAAATAAGCCCTTAAATCCAAGAGTAATGCAGTTAAATCATTCTTACATACATAATTACAACAAATAATAGAAGACAAAGGAGTACACAGGGTGCACCCCCCCCCCCCGGCTCCCTCCCTGCTCCTTACTTTTGTCCCTGGAGGAAAGTGGGGCATTGGTCCCAGACCTCCATGAAGGATCTTCTTCTTAACCCCAGGGTGATGCAGAAGATATGTTTCCTCCATCTTCTGTATACTTTATTCTTCTTAAAGACACTGTGAACGAGGCCCTTGGAGAATGATGCCGGAGTGGCAAAGCCCACGGAGCGGCCTGCTGCCCGGGTCCGAGCCGAGGCCCCTGCAGGGAGCACCGCCAGACCGCGGGCATCTCATCCCCCTGGCTCTCTGACGGCCTCCTTAAATCCACCTGCCCTAATCCCAACCAGAGCCCACACTGTAATCTGCCAGGGGGGAGGTGCCAGACGTACCAAATCTGTGACCAAGCATGTGGCTTTTTTGGGGACATCGTAGGGTCGAGCCGGGGGACACGCAGCCGACGACCACCAACAGGCAGCATGATGGGAATTTAAAGGCAGATATACAGATCCAGTGCACAGTCTGCAGTGCTTATATAAGGACAGACACACTGCTCTGCTGTCTGTCTTTTAATATAATACAAAACAGTAAAAGCGTTTAGCTTTTAAAGGGACGACAGAACCACAAATGTAGCCAATCACAGCTATGGCTTTATTCAACAAAAGTGACAAAATGAACAGAAAATAGATACACAGTCCTGTGCTTCATATACAGAAAAACTCCCACGCAGATGCAGCAGAGCCTCCAGATGCCGGCATGGGCATCGCCGACCGCCCATGTATCTGCACTGCCCCCTGCAGGTCACTTCTCGATCAGCGAGTCCAGCTGCTCTTGTAACGAGGCCAGCTGTTGAAGCAGAAAATGAGCTGTGACTGATTGCCAGCACTGGGAATTAATTAGTGGATGCTGATTAAAAAGGTTATCCATTAATTTTTTTATACATTTGTTTTCATGAAAATATACTGGTGGTCTGCGATTGGCCAAATCTTGACCCTGGGCGTTCATCTTGCGGTGCTCTGGACATTTAAAGGATCTCACCTGCTCCATCTCACGCTGCTCCTGGTGGATGATTTCATTTAAAATGGCCTGGAAGCGATTCTGGAAAGACAGAAGGGACATAATGCAACCGCCCATCAACGACGACATCATGATCCTGCAGAAATGGCATCAGCACTCCTGCGCTTTTTAGAGCGAGGAGCACCGTTTCAGACTGACCGCAAAGGAACAGGATCAGACCCAGCCTCTGCTCCAGGCCCACAGCCGGGGCTCTGGAGATGCTGCAGGTCGTGTGTTTTACGTCTGAGAGCCATGTCAGTTTTGTCTTGGATCAGACATGGCTAGAGGTCAGGTGTACCCACCCCCCCCAAAAGCAGCCACCTTGACAGTGTGTGTATGGCGATGTCCTCACACCCCGGGCCCTCCAGCTCCTCACCTTCAAGGCCTGGTTCTCCACCTTCATGATCAGGTCCTCCTGCTGCTTCTTGCGCGCACGCGTCTCCTGCAGCTTGGTCTTCACGCTGTTGATCTGCATCTGGTACTCCATCACTGGAAATGCGAGTGCAAGGCTAAGGTCAGGAGAGCTCAGGCAGCTCCCAGACCACCTCCAGGGGAAGGCTTCCCTCATACGGACCGGACCGGACCGGACCGGACGTGACGTGCCCGGCGTTAGCACAGCGGCCTAGGGAGGCCTAAGGGACTCTCTCATGGCAGACGGCACCGTGATACTTTCACAGCTGATATTCTTTTGGCTTAAGCTGCTCAAGGGAACAGCGGCACTGAGCTTTGGAATTCGAAGCCTGCAGATGGGGCAATAAAGTATACTGCACTATTTTGCAGTAAAACTGAGGGGAGGGGGGGTTTGGAAAATCTGCCATTTGACAAAATATATACCATCAAAATACAATTACTGACAACTAAAAATTAGCTTGGGTAGTATCTAATTTTTCATACCATCAAACCATCCAGACGTTATATCACAGCATGATGTATTTTGATGTTATTTTTAAAGCCACAACCAAAGAAGAATGCAGTCAGTAGTTGTTTTAGATCGTCACAACTCTACATTAATTCAGGTATTTTTAAGTGTAAGCAGGACAGAAATCCCCCCAAAATATATATTTTATCACAAAGCTAATTTTGCCGCCTACCTGCAGAGTCACAAAAGCATTTCCTCAAATACATTTAGGTCCTATAACTACCAAAGGGCACCTTGGTGACAATACATGTGGTGTCAGCCAAAGACCAAGCAGGGAGGGGGCATCATAACACGCAAGGAGGGAGACGGGGAACATCTGTGATCAGCCGTAAGCAAAATCAGCAGTGAGTGTGCGTATAAATGTGCATGCAGCCTGGTCATAAACTTACCTGAGGGCTCAACAGGAGAGAAACGACCCAGAACAGTCAGTATGACAAATACTGGGCCACACAGGTGGTTCAATTAAGTATTATGGACCTGCTACGGCCCCAGGGGGGACTTCTATTTAACAATCCCCAATTTAATGCAATTCCACTTTAGGCCTCAGGAGGCAGAAGGGAGCAGAGCAGGACGTATCAGCATTAACCCTCCTTAGCCTCCCAATCCGGGCGGCGCACACAATCTGCTGAAGTGGTTTTGCCGGAAATGACCAGCTAAATGGCTAAGCGAGCATAATCCCCCGCCCTGCCATTCGCCCTCCCACCTCCCCGCCTCGCCCCCACTCTCCCGCACCGATCTGGCTGTTGCTGTCGCCCTCGTCGCGGGTGCCATCCGACTCGTTAAGCTTCTCCTGCAGCTGTCGCTCCAGGTCGTCCTCGGTGTCCATTATGTTGAGGTCCTCATCCTCGTGCCGGTCCCCCTCGTCCTCCTCGTCTTCGCTGCTGCTGATGTCATTGAACATTTCACGCAGCTCGTCGCGTTGCACTGGGAGGGATGGTGATAAAGTGCACGGCATCAATACCCCACCCCACCGACGGCCATAAAACAGCCCCCCCCCCAGGCACCCCTCCCCCCTGCTTACCCGAGGAACCGTGGGGCAGTTTGTGCCCCGAGGTCCCTGGCGAGGAGTCCAGGTTTGCCAGAGAGCCATGGGTATCTGGCTCCTTGGTCTCGTCCTCTGCAATCACCTCCCATCCTGACCGGCAGAGTCAAGGGAGATAGACAAGGACTCCCCTCCGGAGGTGGCCATCTTGGTTTTTTGTTTTTACTTATCTTAAGATAAACTGGGTCCTGAGGGAGACAAACAGGCCCCACCCCTGAACAGGGAGTGTAAAGGATACGGACACTGACGGCCTCAGCATCTGTGCTCAGAAGCCTCTTCACCTCCTTCTCCACATCTGGCGACTCAATGTACTGCAAAAGAGGGCAGTATTTTTCACCAGCGTTATTATGACTTATTACGTACGACATATTATTGCCCCATCTGCTAGTATCTCCAGCCAGAGAGATCTACAGCACCAGTGCAGCAGAGCCAGCAACCCCCCCCCCCCAGCCGAGCAGACACCCCCAGCAGAGCCGACACCGTGCCAGGAAGCGCATTAGGAACTAAAATGGGATGCAAATCCAGGCACCCCACGCCCTAAAAGCTTTATCCAAAGGCCTGACAAGCCTGGCCCCTCCCTTCCCAACACCCAGATCAGAAAACCCATCAAGACATCTTGTGGTGGGGGTGTGGAGAGGTGTGTGTGTAAGTCCTGGTTTCTCTTTCAATCTTTTCACAAACAACTCTGGGAAAAAAATTAAGAGTCCACTCTACATATTTACAAAATGTGCATTCTTAAATCCTAGTTTAATCCTGGTTCTGTTGGCAGAAGACTACACTAAAGCAGGAGGTGAAGCAGGAGACACTGGCAATAACCAAAAACCAGCCGGGAAGAGGGCAGAAGCAACTTTATAATGCCAACTTATCCAGCAGTGCCACATAAATCAGAGGATGACCTCAAGTGACCTTCAAAAAGGGAAGAAAGGGAAACTAAGTGGTGTGAACTGTTCATAACAGGCTCCTAGGAGGAGGACTGAAGACCCATAAAGCAAAGAAGCAGCCCTTTATCAATGAGAAGCAGAGAAGAGCCAGGCTGCAGTTTGCAATAAAAAAATTATATTTTACTCATGCGCATACCAAGAAACCGAAAATATTGCGGTGGTCAATTTTTTCCAGAGCTGTAGATTAAACATTCAAAACTTTCTCTCATCCTCAGGCAAAATTAGAAATGTATTTTGTAACAAGGAATGAAGTACCTACCTTTTTTTTTGCAGTCTTCCGAAATCTTCTCTTCCTCGTGTTCTTTAAAGGGCAGGTGACTAGACGGAGAAAAGAACAATCGATGTTAAATGCGACTCGCTCCGCTGTGCAGGAGTGGGCTGCTCGGGGACCTGAGGGGCCCAGGCACAGCGCGGGGACCCGAGGGGCCCAGGCACAGCGCGGAGACCCGCATCGATGGCATGGCGGCCATGGATACTCACTGCCATGGTTCCACACAAACTTCTTGTCTTTGTCCTTCTTCTTGCTCTTGGGGTCTGTGGTGCCAGTGGGCTCTTCTAATGGTGGGTACAGGTCCCCATCTACAGTGCAGACCAGCATCTGCACGCCAGATAAACAACAAATCAATCAGGAGCAGCATACAGTGATATTCCTATCTGAAATAAACTGAACAATATTAATGAAAATATGCAATATTTTAATTTTAAAACATTGATATAAAAGATAGTTGACCAACCCCCCACCCCTCCACAACCACAGAAGCATGCAGTCATTACATTAATTCAGCTTCTTTTTTTTTTTTTACAGTAAATGCAAGCATGACAAATAAGTGAATCTGGTTTGCTAATAATAATAATTTTAGAAATAGGCAGTTGCACGCCACAATGGACAAGCTTTTAAAACTAATCAATAGCCAAGGATGCTCGTAACTGGTACGCAAGTACGCATTCACCTTTAAAAGTATTACGTGCGGCAATTGATTGTTGTAACAGTGCAGATGCGTACGCATTTTATGTGCATTTACACTGATATGACAAGAAATTACCAAGCATTAACCTTTATATGCTAATTTGTACTATAAAGGTTAAAATGCATAGTAATTTCTTGCCATAGCAGCTCAAATGCACATAAAATTGAAAGCCACACGTATCACTTTTAAATGTGAATGCATACTTGCATACCAGTTATGTGCATCCCTGTCAATAGCCAAACCTGGTTCATCTAAAAATAGTCAATGCTTTTTTTCCCCCCCATCTGAAGTTTTGCCTATAGCCTGTGAAGACCACTCTGTCACATAAATGAAAGGAACTGAGAGGAAGAAATTCTATAACGAATTTTGTTAAAGCCTTCTTTAATCAAGCCTTCTTAAAGCCTTTAATAAAGCCCTCTTAATACAGCAACACCCGAGGTCTACCAGTCTAAACCCACTGTGCTACATAAATAACTGGTCAAAGTAGTACCCGAGTTTCGGAATGAAGATCCAGGCAGCAGATAGAAGGGGGTCATGAATATTTCATTGCTGTCCCCCACCTAACCTCATATGGCGAGTGGCAGAGGACGTGAACAGGATGCACATATATTCACACAGACCGGGAAGAGACTCCCTCAGTTACAAGAAAGTCAAACTGAAGCAACTTCAAGCTCAGGTGGAACTTTCAGCCGACTTTGTATCAGTGAGTGGAAATGGCATGTACCCCAACACAGCAGCTGGTCTGCACAGACCCGTGGCGTGAGGCTCGCTGTGTGTGGGGGGGGGGGGCTCATTTCGGAGGCTTTAACCAGTTTTGGCAGCACCGTGATCTGGCTGTCACACCTTCTCTAGCCTCCCTCTGCCTGTCGTGGCTGCATTGGCCCATGCAGTAAGCATCCTCATGCATGTCACGTGGTACCTGGCAGACGTCAGCAGTCTTGTAGAACGTCTTCTTGTCTACTGTTTTCAGAGACTCTAGAATGCAAGGCAGGTCGACCAGCTTGCAGGCCAGCGGGACGCGGTCCACTCTCACGATGCCGTGACGACCGTCCGCTGGAAGGGCGCGTTTCAGAGAGAGGTCAGAACATGTGCACATGGAAAGGGGTGAGTCTGAGATTTCACTCTGAGTATTCAGTCTCAAGTGCCCCAGGCCACTGAATACAGCAGTATAGTATATTTCATGTAGAGGTGGGCGATAAATCGATTTTATCGATTAATTCGAATTTACGATGCGTTTTTATGAAAATCGATTTTATTACTCATTTTACACGCGAGCGCCAAAAGCGGAACTAATGCGACGCACCGTTCTTCACGGGTACATTAGTGCGGCGCACCCAAACACTGTAGCGGATTCACAAACAACATGGCAATGGTCCAAGAGTGTCCAGCTGCAGACGCCTGTAGAGTGGAGCTCCACCGGAAATACGTCATCTCCACAGGAAATACGTGATTTTAAGGGGCGTAAAGTGGAGCTCCACAGGAAACACGTGACATGGAATTATTTTTACATGCCTGTGTTGACCAGCGGGGCCTCCGGGTTAATGCTGTCTGTTATGAGAAAGATTAAATTACTGGCACATGAGTGTGTTGATTGATTTTTTTTTTTATTTAATTCTGTTTGTTGTTGCTGTCTAAATAAATTTAGCAGTTGATTGAATATAATTGTTACATGTTGATCATCATTTATACAACACATACAGGGCTGCATATAACTGGTACGCAAGTACGCATTCACCTTTAAAAGCTCCACTTTACGCCCCTTAAAATCACGTATTTCCGGTGGAGCTCCACTCTACAGGCGTCTGCAGCCGGTTTTGCGCCGTCGGACACAGACCAAACAAGTCCTCGTTGCAAAGTCTGTTTAAAAACTGTTGCAACCAAAGGAAGCAGCACGACAAATTTATTTCAGCACCTAAAGCAGAGGCACACAGCGGAGTAGGAGAAGTGCAGCTCCCAGTGAAATGAAAATAGCCGCAGCACCAGCACAACATCCAAAGTTAAGCAAGCAACCGTCCCTGACACGTTTTTGAACTGTGTGCCATATGATAAGAATGGGGCACGGTGGAAGGCGATAACAAACGCTGTCGCAATGTGTATTGCAAAAGACATGGTGCCCATACATACTGTGGAAAAGCCAGGATTCATTAACATGCTAAAAGTTTTTACAAGTTTCAAAGACGTGGTCTACCATCTCACAAGCATCTTTTTTGGCTTGTCAGATTGCACTTTAACCCTAAAGTAAAAAAAAAAAAAACTAAATAAAGTTAAAACTTGTTTTGAACCATTTATTTTTCATCTGTAGTTTCATTTTGAGTAGGGGAGGGAAAAATCGATTCAAATCGGATTTATTGTGAAAAAAATTGGAAATTTTATTTTTACGCCATATCGTCCAGCTCTAATTTCATATATATACATCCCTATATGTAATGCTATGGTTTATCCATATTGGATAGATAAAGGATCAGAAGGTTTTAAACACTTTAGCCATGATACTCAAACTAAAGAATACATTATGAATTATCAGAACCTGATAACCTGATGGGGTTAACAGTGACCACATAGAGGTGCTCTACACAACTCACTGTAAAAACGGGTCATGTAACTGTGTAAATGTTATGTACTATGCAATACAGTGGGTGTAAAAGACACTCACCATGCAACTCTATAGTGAGCCTGTCTTTGATGTTCATGCTACTGGACTGGGCCATTCTTCTGACAGTCGAAGCATACTCCTGTAACACAGCAACAAACAGTAATCATATCACAGACAAACCAGTCAGATTAAGGTTCTTTACCAAATAAATTAATATGCAGTGATAATGGGGTCGCTCAAAAAAAAACATTATGTGCCAAAACCTTCAACAGAACTGTACAAAACCAAGCTAGAGTGATATAAAATAATAATTACTTCTGGGCATTACAATAATCCTCAAGATTATACACAATTACAGAAAAGATCTGAAGGTAAAGGTATTATTTGTGGATCATGATTTTAAAATGTAGCCTGCTTTAGTTTCGGGTGTATCTTCCTTACTGTGCTGGAGCACAGATCAGAGGTAAGTTCAGGTGGCTGAGTGTGAGTCTGTGTCTCTGCGGGCGATGCACGGCGCCCCTACCTGGGGCAGCCGCAGTACGAACTGACTCTCCAGCTCATATGGCGCATCGTCCTTGTTTTTGGATCCGACCTTCCCAACTGGACGAGAGAGACAGAGCCGAGAATAATGGAGGAAACAGACTATGAAGAGCGGTTTACATCGTCCCAGCACGCAGGGTCACTCCACAGAACCGAATAACGTGTATAAGCAGCACAAAGAAAAATTCATGAATATGTGAAAGGTAAAGAAATATCTATAAATTTACCTTTCGCCTTGGACGTCATTTTGGTCTCTTACTCTGCACAGGAACCCCGTGCGGAGTCTGACGGCTTTAAAAATAACGAAACCAAATAAAACTACAGCATTAAAATTAAAATTAAACAGATAACCAGGCTAGCGACTGTTTAAGCCGATTGACGCGGAAAAGCTATGCTATCTAGAATCAGATATAATTAAGGTATAATGAACAAAACTACATGGCTGGTGTTAATAAATTACGTATACCCAAATTATTTTCCTAGGAAATAATTTAACATTAAAGACAACAGGCTAACCAGGGACGTACTTGGTATGACCGCTATGTAGAAACAACAACCATCATAGTTTGGAATCAACTAACCTAATAGAAGTTATATGAGATACACGCATTTCGGGTAATTTATCTAGTTTACCTTTTGCAGAAAAATGCGCCCGCCTTTAACTAGCAAAATAAACCCTTGCAAGCTGAATACGACGCTTCCGGTTGCGCTAACAGGAAATTTATTCTTCTTCGCTTCACAATTTTCTAAACGCTGCTTTGCTGCCATCTAGTGCTCCGGATGCGCATCATCCTATTTGTAGGCACGATACACATTGTAATTAAATAGCTTTATACATTTTATATAAATGGTTAAATATTTTTCCGTCTATCGTAAACGTTTCCCATTAGGCCACTTGAAATTAATAAATTGTTTTACATGACTCAAACTTCTAAAATATTGGTGAGTAGGGGATTTTATATTTTATATTTTTAGCGAAAAGACGAACGGCAACAGAGATATACTAAAACTAGAAACGTTCTCAAACAGCTCGCGAAGGGTAATATTACTCGGTATATTGATGCCCTGCCANCTAGAAACGTTCTCAAACAGCTCGCGAAGGGTAATATTACTCGGTATATTGATGCCCTGCCAAAATTTAAATACCGTGGGCCCACACACAATCTGACAAACGATAAAAACCATTGTCCGAGAAGCGTCAAATTGAAAAATCCGAGGCTGACATTCAAGATTTTTCACCCACAGTTTTTGAGGTGAAAAAAACGGACTTTTTGAAAAATATAAAATATAAAAAAAATCGAGGCGGCACCAAAAAATTGAGGCGGGCGGCCATGTAAAACAATTTATTAATTTTAAGTGGCCTTAGCAGTTTTTGTCCACAAAGGAAGGTGACGTCCAATGCAAACGAATTATATAAATTCGAATCGTGCGAACTTAGAAGCAACAGTTAAGTTTGCCTGAATATGAGTCTGATATGGGCATTGCCAGCATTTACTGCGAAGCTCCATGACACGACAGATACCTTTCGCTGAATAAACTTTCTTTCTGGGGACTCCGTGCAGTTTGCATTAATTAGTAAACCAAAATTTCTTAACTGGTTTATAACAACCTCACTGTCTGTCAAGTGAGCACCTTTTACATTATTACTGCTTTCACTAATTCCAAAAAGGGTATAACATGATACAGAAACGTTCCAGTGACACCACCATAATTCATGGCCGTAACAAGCATTCCTAAAGTCTCCCTTCAGTGAATACAAATACACACGTATATTATAGCAGGGAAGTATTTGCTAACAAACAAACCAGGGCTTTATATGCGGCTCCCTGCCCCGGCCAGCTGGTTTGCATACTTGGACTCGTGATAACGCCTCCCTAACAATGACCTACTTGTTCCTTTTGCTCACTATTCACATTAACTTTCTCTTTTAATTCATTAACTGTATATAAATATTTGAAAACCTTAGTAAGTTCTCAGTCTGATAAGAGTCGTATATATATTTTTTATTTTAATATGCATAGGCTATTTTTAAAACTGCTCCAAGTTCTCGGATTGAAATTAGTCGTATATAGTGCTCGGGCTTGTTTGCTTACATGACTTGGCGGAGCAGACTGACTCCCCGATGGACCCGAGTACCGCCGGCCACCTGGACTTCTACATCGGCCTATGTCTGGCCGTTGGTTCGAGCGCCTTCATCGGCAGCAGCTTCATCCTGAAGAAGCAGGGGCTACTGCGCCTAGCGCAGAAAGGCTCCACAAGAGCAGGTACTCGGGGGCATCTGACAGCTTAAAATGAAACTTTACATATTTCTAGTATAATGTTAATTTCCTGCATGCGAAATTGCACGCTGTTTTAACGGATTTTGTTTGCGCCGATTTGCTCAGGACAGGGTGGACATGCTTATCTTAAGGAGTCCTTATGGTGGGCTGGGCTCCTTTCAAGTAAGTCTGTGTTTTCATCCTACGTTTTTGATACAAAGACATTAGAAGAAATTTTAATAGTTGCATATTTTCATTTTGCAACGTGAAGACTTACTCATCTTGCTATATTTTGTGTATCTGGGAAGGAAGGACGCATTTTGGTGCGTTTGCTGGTTTATCAGGACTGATCGTTGACTTCCACGGGGGTATAATACTGGCTTTTATTTTCGCAACAGGCATGCCACAAAGCAATCGTGCATTAAGCCGCCTGAGAGGGGACAGTTTATTGTAAAATGCCCGCCTGCGGGCAACCTTTGCTCTTTTGCCCTCACCTAAATATGACTGCCTTGCTTCGCAGTGGGGGTGGGAGAAGCGGCCAATTTCGCTGCTTACGCCTTTGCCCCCGCCACCCTGGTGACGCCGCTGGGAGCCTTGAGTGTTTTGGTGAGGTGAGCGATGCCGGGGTCTGATTTGGGCGGCTTTGGAAGGGACAGTGATCCTCCTCCTTTATTCCTCAGTGATGGGGAGCAGTGCCTCATAACATAAGATCAGGGGGGTGTTTTTCGTACGTGGATTACTCGTTTAGCCGGATGTAATTGTTGACGATTTGGCATGATCCTGGATCTGTCGGTTTTTCGAAACTCTTTCTGGATGTGTTGTCATAGCAACACATCAAAATTCTCAAACCAGTGGCATGTACTACGACGCGGGGTTACTATGGCTTATCGGGGTAACTTGTCGGATTTAAGGTACCACAGTTTAAATGGATTTCATATTCGTTCACTTACATTTTTGCCTAGACTACCTTAAATCTGAATTAATATCGGTGCGCAAATTATAAGAAAATTTCATATAGAGAAAGTTTTGCGCGATCGACAAGATCCATTATTGCTCCCGGAGGAAATTCTTTTCGAAAGATACCACTTTAGCCAAAGGGGAATATTGTACCTCAAAGATTTATTAGCAGCTTATATTCAAAGTCAAACTAGGCGAAGTCGGGCTCTCACAACCACACAGACAGTATGCATTGCTTTGAGATTTTTTTGCAAACGGCGCTTTTTTATACTGTAGACATCATAACTGCTAGAGACAGAATTGTGGCCCGATATTTTCAATAATGACGACACAGTTGCTTTACACAAAGTTCACATTTATTACAAAGACACTACTGCCCTTCCACCTATAAAGAGGAATACATAATTGAGTATTAACTACTTATATGGTGTGTTGTGGCTGGGGGTGCAGGGATGACACGCCAGGAGGAGGCGCAGTAGTGCGTGATGGCAGCAGGTAGAAAGGATCCCCTGTAGTGCTTCTTAGAAAGCCACACATTACAAGAAGGTCTCGTTTGCGTACTGCGAGACTGAGCTTTGTGCCCATGGTTTCCACAGTGCAGTGCTGTCCTCGTACTTCCTCAACGAGCGGCTGAACATTCACGGCAAGGTGGGCTGCTTGCTGTGCATCCTGGGCTCCACGGTCGTGGTCCTCCACGCCCCGCAGGAGGAGGAGGTGGTGTCCCTGAGCACACTGGCTGAGAAGCTTAAGGAGCCAGGTAGGTCACACACTCGGTCACTAGGCTCATGGTGTCATCGTGCCTCTGAGGGAGTGATTTTTGGTTGAAATTCCAAATTTTGTGATTAAATGAGAAAGTCGCAGCTCATCCAGAAGTGAAACCTTGCAAAACAGGTTAATGGGAGTTTTACTTACATAAAAATGTTCTGAGGGCAGAATGAAAAATGATTGCTTCAGACAGTAGAGAAGGTGGGTCCAAGCAACTAGAGGAGGCAGGATCAGATGTCTTGTTTGGACCCATCTCCTCTACAATCTGATTGGTTATCTCTCTGAACCAATCATGTTTCATTCTGCCCTCAGAACATTTTTGTGTAAGTAAAACTCCCACAAGCGTGAAACAGAGGTAGTTGAAGTTCTGCCCTATGGGGATGGGCAACAGCGTGGCTTGTGCAGTGTGCTTTTTTTGCTGCAGGGTTCATTGTGTTTGCCGTGGGTGTCGTGGCCAGCAGCCTGCTGCTGATCTTCTTGGTCGCCCCGCGCTACGGCCAGAAGAACGTGCTGGTGTACATCCTGATCTGCTCAGCCATCGGCTCGCTGTCCGTGTCGTGTGTAAAGGGCCTGGGCATCGGCATCAAGCAGCTGTTTGGGGGGAAGGCTGTGCTGAGAGACCCCCTGTTTTGGAGCTTGCTGGTGGGCCTGGTGCTTTGCATCAGCACACAGATAAACTATCTGAATAAGGCCCTGGACATCTTCAACACCTCCGTGGTGACACCCATCTACTACGTGTTCTTCACTACCGCCGTCGTGGCATGCTCTGCCATCCTCTTCCAGGAGTAGTTGTGGATGACGCTGGAACGGGCCGTGGGAACCGTGGGTGGCTTTCTGGGCATCATCCTGGGCATCTTCCTTCTGCATGCCTTCAAGGATGTCCCGTTCTCCTGGGACACTCTGCCGATCTTCCTCCGCCAGGGCCACCAGGGGGTGCTGTGGCGCCAGACGTACGTTGCCCTGCTACAAGAGGACACACCAGTGGACGAGTGAGCCATAGCATTCACCCCAGTCAGGAGGAGTGATACGATGCTCCTCCCTAGGCGATATTGTATTCACACAGAGGACAATGTAGCGTCTGTACCAACAGACGTTTCCCACATGCTGCACTTCACAGGAACACAAACGCAGCTTGTCTGCATATGACACTGTTACCTTCATCAAAGATCCTAGTATTCTGTAGGTTTGTCTTGAACATGCATTTCAGCTGCCTACTTTTACAGCACAGGCTGAGTTCTGCTCAAAATATTTATTTTACCCTTAGGCCTAGTTGTGCATTTTCTCAGATCCACTCTTCTGTTCATCCATCGCAAATGGATCAACCTCGCTTCATCTAGGCTCTGATGAATCACACCTGATCTCAGACAGATAGGAACTCATGAGGTTGGACAGAAAACCTGCTGGATACCAGCACTCCAGGCCTTCGCCTGATCTAGGGTCATATAAACAGGCGTGTACTCAGCTGGAATAGAAAAGTGAGGTCAGATATAACTTAAGGACATTTAACCAGACTTAAGAAATGACATGCATTGTATGTGACACTATTTAAAATACATAAATACTATATCTACATTAACTGCTATAAAATGGGTATAAAAGGTATATACATATATTAATTAATTAATATTTATGCATGAATATACATACATACACTATACTACATACACTATAATAAATATACATACATACACTACCAGTGAAAAATTTTTGCACACACTGAGATTTTCAACATTTGCATGTTACTCAACATTTACTAAAATATATTCAATATTCTTTTCTAACAAAAACATTTACAGTATGTTCACCATTTAAGTACCTTCATTAGCAAGAAAATATATTTTTGATTCATCAAAGTAACCTCCTCGAGCAATTATAACAGCAGAGAAAATTCGAGCCATTCTTTCTAGAAGGGACATTAAATACTGCTCTGTCTCATGGGATGAAACAGTTAACTAGTGCATTTAAAGAACAGCCTAGAATTTGACTATTCCATCACCACACAACCAGTCCATAGGATATCAGACATGTATTGGTACCTTCTCTTTCCATGTTATAAAGGAAACTTGTTTTATTTGACTTGTATTTTCATTTATAGTTGCTCACTCAACCTTCCAATGCTTAACAAGAATAAAAAAATCTGCAGTTTATGAAATAAATGGAGAAGCAGTAAAAACCTGTGGTGTGCAAACACTTTTGACTGGTGGTGTATATATAATATACACATACACATAATAAAGCATGAATACAACATATTTCAGGGCTCATGCAATATACAGCCCAAGGAAGCTGTAGTTTTCAATACATTCCATGAATTTGACACTCTTTACTTCTCATACAATTTTATATTTTACCAAATGACAAAGGTTATTTGTTAAATATAATCAGTATAGGAGGGGTTTTAATAACTCTACATGTATGTATAAAAATGTAGCTAAAATGCATAGTTTATTAAGAAGGTATATATTTAACATTACTTTCATTAATCCAGAATCCATATTTTCCATATTTGATAGTATTTGTTTATTTTTTTATTTCTTTGTTCCAAGCCACTGGATGAAACCTTCCCAAAAAGCTTTGGAGTATGAATGTTGTATGAGCAGATGTCAGCCCTTTCAATACCTTTGTAGATTTGACAGTATTACCAAAATTAAATCTAATTCTTAATAATTCAAAAGAAGAATATACCTCATTAAGCAACTTGAAATTAATCACTTTAGCTTTGGGAGAAATAGGGAATTTTAAATACTTTGGAAACTGAAACATCAAAAGAACTGTCTAGATGCTTTTTTTAGTGAGGAAGACCATTTGTCAGAGAGAAAATCCCTTCAATATCCATTTCAGTATTTTTATCCGTAACAGACATATAATAAATAATAATAATTTTTGTTGATACCCATGGGGAAATTCTTTTCATGCCTCCCCCTCTCAATAGATGAGAGCAAGCTGGCTGTGAAGGGCAGCTACCCATAGCAGCACCCAGGGAGCTGGGGGGGTTAAGGGTCTTGCTCAAGGACCTACAAATATGCCAAGGCTGGGCTTGAACCCTGAACCTTCTGATCACAGGCACAGAGGCTTAGTTACACGCTGCCCCCAATATATAGATATACTGTACTCCATTGTCAATGTCACCAGTCAAATATGGAGTACCACTGGGGAAGATGGTGGCGCAGGAGGTAGTGCTATCGTTTGGCAACCAGAGGGTTGCCAGTTTGAGCCCTGGTTCCTCCTGACCCCATCAGGAGCAAGACACTGAACCCCAAATTGCTCTTGGTGAGCAGGTTGGCACCTTGCATGGCAGCCTCCGCCACCGGTGTGTGAATGTGAATGTACTCGTAGGGGTAAAAAAGCCCTATATAAATGCAGTCCGTGTAACACAGGGATCAGTGCTTGGCCCTTTGTTGTTATTTCTCTCTACATGTTGCCATTAGGTAATATAATGAGAAAACATAACATTAATTATCACTCCTATGCCGACGAAACCCAAATATACATTTCTGTTATGCCTAATGATACCGGATAGGAATGCTGTAATCTCTGGACTTCACTTCAAGGAGCTGAACTTTTCCCTCAGCAGCTGAGCGATCAGGGCGTCATCTTAAATACAAGCTTCTCATTCAAATTGCATGTGGATGCAATATCAAAGGTATGTTTCCTACAGTTATGTAACGTATCACCAAACTATGATGATTCCTTACTATCCAAGACGCTGAGAAATAGATATATGCCTTTGTATAACTTTACTGGACTGTATCACTTAGGTTTATGCTTATTAGTCCATAAAAAGATTCCATATTTTTTACTTTAAACGGACACAGTGCAGTTATTAATAGTAATGGAAAAAGTTATTAAATAGTAATGGAAAAGTAACCACGTTTTCCGAAAAAGCCCCAACAAGAGACAGAGAATCAAAGCCGAATAAATTAGGCTGTATGTTTCTGTTGTGATTGAATCCTGGGTCTGATGTGACGAACTGTGCTACACCCTATGCTGACATACCATGGCTGGACAGGATGCCGTGTTTAGCTACGTGTGATAATGCTGCCACCCAGTGGTGAATATGGTACTAATGCCGACATGCCATGGCTGGGAAGATGTTGAGTTGAGCTATGTGTGATAATACTGTCACCTAGTGGTAGCAGGTGTACTGCATGTGTGGTATCCCTCCGGTTATTCCAGCTCAGCATTTAATCAAACTGTCAGGCTTCTCATTCAATATCAACAGAGAGGCATGTATGTTTCTGTCACGGAGAAGAATAACGGGTAGCATATAGCGAAGCTAACAGTTCTTCCTCCGATCCAGTGTGTTATTATCTGAAATGCACAAGTTTGTGGCTCTTCCTGTTTAAGCATGAAATGAACAGGGTTTCAGCTACTGAACAGTGATCCTGAAACTCTGAGCGTTTAACCCAAAGATGCCATTGCCTTTCAGGACTACTTGAAGTAGGTCCTGGACATTGATCTCCATGTGCAGGTCCACTTTGGATGTGTTTTCATGAAGCCAGGGTAACTGTACTGAATAGTTCTTTATGGGTTTGGCTGTTAGACTTTATCTGGATCCCTGGACCTGCAGAATCATCAGTTATTTTTTTGAAGTGAGTCGATCAGTGAGCTTCCTTCCCTTGGTGTCCGAATCCTGTGACCGAATCCTGTAAATATATTTCCAATGATACTATTCAGCTGAAACCTTCACTAGACATTGGCATTAACTCAAGAAATCCACACAAAAAAAATCACAACATTCCAGTCCTTGAAGTTATGTGTAATACAGTGGAATGAAACAGGAAAATAATATAGACTCATCAAAGCTTATGATAAACTGCCAAAAACGAGCCACCGAGGTGCAGCAGCGAAACTACAATAAGCTCGCGAACGTTTTGCCCAGGGGCCCACACAACCCATAATCCATCCCTGGTTATGGCTAATACTTGTATTTCCTGATTGTGGCTTGATGGTTTACCCATGACTTATGTGAACCCTGTCTGAGCCTCGCATGTCTTTAGCATTGTGTAAATTACCCAGAATGTGTGTATTTGACGGTCCAGCGTCCCTGTGTTTCCCTACTATGTTCTGTTCGGTGTTCATTGGGCGCTTGTTATAGTCCCATTAAAGACTGCAAATAAAGAGCATGTTCTTCCTGGCAAACAAGTCTCTTCCTTCGCTGCTCTTGTGATGCCTCAAGTCTGCCTGGCAGTACATTGGTGTCAGAAGTGAGATTCTGGAAGCGATCCCACTGGCACTGCTGGAGCGGGTGCTCTACGAGATCATCTGGCGCACGTGTCTGGCTGAGGCAGCAGAGGCGGCATTCTGAGGCCGCAAGATGGTGCTCCTCGGCTGGGAGAAGGTGAGTCGTGGTTTGGAAGCCCAACTGGCTCAAATGTGCTGTGTGCTGGAGGATGACGAGGGGTTGACTGCACGACCGTGAGGGGGTATGCCTTGCTTGGAGGCTGAGCTGGCCAGGGAGGAGATGGCCGGCTGGGCGCGGCTGTGCAGGGCCGCCCAACCTTGAAAGGTGGCCTGTGGGAGGACCAGCATGGCACAGAACACCAAGGTCCCACCAAGCAAGGGAGGAAGAAGGGCCAGGAGGAAGCTGCACTGCCAGGTGTCTCCGGAGAAGGGGGCCTGGCTGTGGGAGTTGCTGGGCATCCTGTTTCCTGGTCAGGAGGACCCTCAGGACAGATCTCCCTAAGGCATGCAAGAGGAAGGGTCCTGCCATGCTATCACCCGAAGATCAGGAGCTCGCATCTGTGGAGGTGGGTCCACCTGTACAGCAGACTGAGCTGGGCAGACACAGTGCTGTACATGAACGGCCAGAGCAGATTCTACTTTCAGAGGAAGCTTGGGTCTTTTGGTGTGTGCAGCAATCTGTTGAGTATGTTCTATCAGTCCACCATGGCCATCATACTTTTCTATGTACACTGAACAAAAATATAAACGCAACACTCTTGTTTTTGCTCCCATTTTTCATGAGCTGAACTCAAACATCGGAATTTTTTTCTACATACACAAAAGGCCCATTTCTCTCAAATATTGTTCACAAATCTGTCTAAATCTGTGTTAGTGAGCACTTCTCCTTTGCCAAGACAATCCATCCCACCTCAGGTGTGGCATGTCAAGGTGCTGATTAGACAGCATCAATATTGCACAGGTGTGCCTTAGACTGCCCACAATAAAAGGCCACCCTGAAATGTGCAGTTTGATCA